CTGTGTCCATGCTGTGTCTGTGCTAGACGAGATGGTGTAGTGGCCTGTGTCTCTGCTACATCTGTGCTGAAAGAGATGGTGTGCAGGCTTGTAACTCTGTTGTTTCTGTGCTGGACAAGATAGTGTGGAGGCCCAAGTCACTGGCTGTGGTGGTGTGGACGCCTGTGTCTGCGTCGGTTGTGACAGTGTGGAGGCCTGTATCTCTGCTGTTTGTGACGGTGTGGAGGCCTGTGTCTCTGCCGGTTGTGACAGTGTGGAGGCCTGTGTCTGTGATGGTGTGGAGGCCAGTGTCTGTGTCGGTTGTGACAGTGTGAAGGCCTGTATCTCTGCTGGTTGTGACGGTGTGGAGGCCTGTGTCTCTGCTAGTTGTGACGGTGTGGAGGCCTGTGCCTGCCAGTTGTGACAGTGTGGAGGCCTGTATCTCTGCCGGTTGTGACGGTGTGGAGGCCTGTGTCTCTGCCGGTTGTGACGGTGTGGAGGCCTGTGTCTGTGTTGGTTGTGACAGTGTGGAGGCCTGTGCCTGCCAGTTGTGACGGTGTGGAGGCCTGTGTCTCTGCCAGTTGTGACGGTGTGGAGGCCTGTGTCTGTGTCGGTTGTGACGGTGTGGAGGCCTGTGTCTGTGACGGTGTGGAGGCCTGTAGCTCTGCTGCGTCTCTGGTATAATCTCTGCTGATTAATGCACAGCCTTCCAAAACCATGTGCCTGTCATCAGCAGAGAACCTGCTCTCACACACACCAGTGAGGAGCCTCACCCATCGGGATTCTTTGGAAACTGCTTGCCATTTGCCGTCCTCTGAGCCAAGCCATCTACCCTTCCCCCCGAGGGTGATTCTTTCAGGAATGTACCCCTCTCCCATGACCACTCCCCTTTCCTCAACTGAGCATGTGTGAGATTTATTATAAAGCCAATAGGAGAAGTAGTTTGCAATCTATCACTCAGAGTATCAACTCCGAGGGCAGCTTGTTCCTCAAGGAGAGGCCTAAACCCACCAGCACAAGGCAGTGGACAAGACACAGGCAACTATCAATGTGGTTAAAGGTCAAGGTAAAAAGGCTGCTGCATGTGACAGGGATGGTCATTATCTCTAGTCAGTGCCCACTGGCTCCTGGGTCTGACAGCGTGCCCTGTCCACGTTATACAGTGTCTGTCAGGGCAGCCCTTGGTGAACCTGCAGGCATCACCCACCATATTATCTCCTGCAAACAGCATTTTAATCCATGACCATGGGAATTTTGAGAAAGGAAGAGCATGCTTCTATCAACACCAGATATAGCTGAGTGGCTGCCCTATTCTCCCCTCTGACAGCCAAGATCATAAGGCACCTTATGGATGTTCCCTTCTTTGACCATCAAGTCCTCGAATGAGAATTGAACCTAGAAATTGTGACTCAGAGGTAGAGACACAACCTACTGCCTACAAAGACCTCCTTGGTTACACATACTCTTGTAGTAAGGAATTCTGTGGATACCTCTCTTACAACAATTGCACACATTAATTTGAAGCAGGATCTGGTTGTAATCTCATTTCTCCTATCTCGATAACTTCCCCACCCACCCCTCCCCCACCATCAACCTTTATCAAACAAGAATCTATCCATCTTTGCCCTAAAAATATTCACAGACGCTGCCTTTGGAGGGGGAAGCTGCTGCTTTCTGTCATCGTGTGATGTTGAACCCATTCGTTACTCAGCCAGAGGTACCTGTTCCTTCACTGGAAGGAGCTTTAAATTGTCCATCACATTCTTTAATTATACAACCATGTCCTTTCACAGATATCCTGTGGTGCAGTGGGTAGCATCTCTGCTGTGGGCCAGAACTCCTGGCTCAAGTTCTGTGCCAGGACTGGATGGCCAACGGCTGCCAGTGAGAAGCAGGAGCGATTCCTGGCCAGCCATGTGAAATCAAAGCCCCTACCTTCATTATCCATTGCTTCAGGCTACACCATGTAGGTAAAAGTATATGTTACCACAGCAATGAGGACACCTCAATGGGGGACAGTTGGCTCAGTTGGTTAAAAACCAAAAGAACTGCGGATGTTGTAAATCGGATAAAAAAGCAGAAGTTGCTGGAAAAGCTCAGCAGGTCTGGCAGTATCTGTAAGGAAAAAAATCAGAGTTAACGTTTCAGGTCCAGTGACCTTTCATCAGAACTGGCTCAATTGGTTGGATGGTTAATCTTCATTCATATTTATGTTATTCTCTTGCATCAGCTATACAGGGAACTGTGTATCTACAACTGGAGTACTATACAGCACAGTACTATTCAGCTGATTTAGGTTGGTATGTAAATGCATTGGTAATTCAGAGAAGCTTCACTTGACCATTACCTGGAATGGCAGGTTATGTTATGAGGAATGTTTGTACGGAATAGATTTGTATTGTCTGGAGTTTAGAAGAGTAAGAGAGAACGCGATTGAAACATACAAGATCCTGAAGGGTCTTGACAGGATGAATGTGGAGAGTAAATTTCCTGTTTTAGGAGAATCTGAAATTCAGGGTCATTGTTGAAAAGTAGATAGAATCTCATATGAAACAGATGAGGCAAATATTTTTCTCTTATGGGTGTCTGAAACTCTTTTCCTCACAAGATGGTGGAAGCAGAGTCTTTGAGTATTTGGGAAGCAAGGTGGATTGCTAGTTAGCAAGGGGGTGAAAGGTTGCTGAGGGTAGAAGAGATTGCAAAGTTGAGCTTACAATCAGATCAACCATGATCTTATTGAATGGCAGAGCAGGCTCGAGAGACCAATTGACTTACTCCTGCGTCTTGATCAATGTTGGTCAACGACTGGCATGAAACAGATCAAGGTTGGGGTTCAATCCCTATTCAGGTTGGGGTGAGTTTGAGATGTGCCTCCCTGAACTATCCGTGGTAGAAATTGCAGCTCAGACTTGTCTTCAGGCATAGAACTGAGGAAGAGGCAATGGGAAGGTGCCGGCAATTGGTTCATTGTAGAACTGAACTGTCTCATCAACAGTACCATCAGTTTAACACATCTTTATGGAAATGTGGTTCCAGGGACAGAGTGGATGAGCAACTTGTCCAGGGACCAGGAGATGCCAGAAAGTTAACTTGAAGGACATTCCGTACTCTGAGTGTAGACACTAAAATCATAGAATCCCTACAGTGTAGAAGCAGGCCATTTGGCCCGTCGAGTCCACACCGACCCACCGCAGAACATCCCACCCAGACCCACCCCCTACCCTATCCTCATAATCCTACACTTCCCATGGCTAATCCACCTAGCCTGCACGTCCCTGGACACTATGGGCGATTTAGCATGGCCAATCCACCTAACCTGCACATCTTTGGACTGTGGGAGGAAACCAGAGCACCTAGAGGAAACCCACGCAGAAGCAGGGAGAAAGTGCAAACTTCACCCAGTCATCTAAGGCTAGAATCGAACCTGGGTCCCTGGCGCTGAGGCAGTAGTGCTAACCACTGAGCTATCCGAAATGATTAAATTATTGAGGACAGTTTGGGTGGCCTAGGATTGTACTACTTTGAATAGAGAGGATTGAGAGGTATGCAGCTGATCAAAGAGTTTCATGTAGGGATCAAAGGGGCAATACAGAGAAACCCTTTCTCTGGGAAAGGCAGGAAGATGAGATTGAGGATTATCAGATCAACCATGATCTCATTGAATGGCAGAGCAGAATTGACGGGCTGAATGGCCTATTTCTGCTCCATCGTCTTATGGCAAGGTGTTGGGAAACAATGTTAGAATTTAAAGCCCTGTCACTCAGGAAGCAATTCACAGAAACCTTATGTAAGTTCTCTTTGCTACAAAAGGCAGTGACTCCTGGTCAATCGCAGAAGGTGGTGGTTTAGTGCTGATGTCACTGGACTAGTAATTCAGAACCTTAGGCTAATGATCTGGGGACATGGGTTTGAATCCCCCCATTTCAAAAGTTGGAATCTGAATTCAAAATAAATAGAAAGCTAGTCTAATGTTGTCCATGTAACCACTGTTGATTGTTGCAAAAACCCATTTAGCGCACTGATGAAGGAAGGAAATCTGCTGGCCTTCATGTAGTGTGGTTGACTTTTAACTACCCTCTGGGCAATAAATGCCAGTGAAGCCCAATCCCCCAATTAATTAAAAAAGTAAAAGTTACATTTGCCAGACTGCAATGGATAGTGAAATCCTGCAGCTGCTCAATATCTAGGAAATGCTGACAAGAAGAGCATGGCATGGAGAGAGAGAGGGAGAAAAAAGTCGCGCTCACAACTCTGACCTTTCTTTGGAAACTCTCAGCCACCCTTGCCCAACCAGTAACTCTGTTTTCTGTAGTGTTTTGAAGAATAAGAGGTTATCTCACGGAAACATACCAAATTCTCATAAGGATCAACAGAGTAGATTCAGAAATGAAAATCCCCTTCCTGGCCTAGGGACACAGACTGAAGATAAGGAGCAGACCATTTAGGACCGAGACAGGGAAAAATTTCTTCACTCAGAGGGTGGTGATGTTTTGGAATTCTCTCCGGAGAGGGCTATGGAGTCATGAGTATGTTCAAAACAGAGATTGATAGATTTTGAGTAACTAGCATTGAGATAGATGATCAGCCTTGACCTAGAGTGGAGCAGGCTCAAGGGGCTGAATGGCCTACTCCTGCTCCTATGTTCCTATATCATTGACCTGAAATGTTATCCCTTTCTCTCACTTTGGGAGATAGGCTATTTGCAAGCAAGACTTTCCTGATTATTGGGGAACCAGGGGTCGCTGTCTAAGGCTGCAGGAGTAGGCCATTTAGAACTGAGATGAAGAGAAATTTCTTCACCCAGAGTGTGGTAACCTTGTGGAATTCTCTGCCACAGAAGGTTATTGAGGCCAAAACATTGAATGTTTTCAAAAAGAAACTAGCTATAGTTCTTAAGGCTAAGTAAGTCAAAGAAACAAACCAAAGAACTCAATACTACCACTGAAGTGAGCTGTTTATGTGAGGGTGGGGGGAGTCGAGATGTGTATTCAGGACATTAACTCCAACATTTCCTCCTGTAGACCCGTCCATAACAACTGGTGGCACCAAACTGGGTTGGGCTCGCTTTACCAACTAGAGATTTAACCTGGAACATTCCAGCAGCTTGGCATTGCAGCAGGTACTTCAGTCTTGTTGTGGGGATAATTCCCTGTTTTTTCTGTGGTTTTCAAACCCAATTCAATCTCTCAATTGTTAGCAATCAAAATCAGTGAGTGTTGAGTAATTCTAAAACCAGTTGCTGAAGTAAATGCTTCAGGCCTCCACCAGAGATGCTGGCACTAAACAAATTCAGTTATTTTGTTTAATTCATTATAAGTTTGAATTGTTTGAACATGGTTTCCGTGGTAATATCAATAAACTAAAGCTTTGAACTATATTGGAATGGCCTGAAAAGATAAACCTTTCAGCCAGTTTCACAAGGAAACTGTTAGTTCCTGCTCTAAGCCAGTGGGATCTCTAATATCGAGTGGTCCCTGGGAGGGAGTAGTGCTGGGATGGCGACTGTCTTAAAATAGTGGGGTTCCCACAGTGGCACCAGAGAAAGGGGAACCTGATGATGGAGAGGTGAGTCAAATGGTGTGATTCCCTGCAGCAAGCTTGTTGGGGGTGCAATGCAGGTCCTGATGGTGTGTTTTTCCCACCACTAGGGAGGGGAGTTGAGGAAGAGCCTCTTCTGCTGATCATATGCCTGTTGTTTTCTGTAGGTATGATCACCCTGACGGAGCTTGCATCTCTGTCTGACACTCAGCCTACTCATCGTCTTCTCAAACCCTGGTGGGATGTTTTGATGGACTATTTGGTGGTTGTCATGCTAATGGTGTCCCTCCTCTCTGTAACCCTGCTCATTTCCCAAGACAAGGTCGTATGTCTTCCCTGTGACCACGTACGGAGTCTGAATGGCACATCTCGGAGTTCCACTGTGGGCACTGTGGCCCAACCGCATAGCCCTCCTGAAAGATCTGAGACAGCTGAGTGTGGCAGCAGGCCCTCGTCAGGAGCCCAGGGAGAACATTCGGGCCCAACTGAAACCAAATCATCACCTCCTGCACGCCTGCTGAGAGCCGGAGGCTACAAGACAAACCTGGACTTCCAGCAGTATGTCTACATCAGCCAAGTGTGTTACCAGAAAGCACTTCCCTGGTACTCCAAGTACTTCCCATACATAGCCTTTGTCCACACTATCATTCTGCTGGTTAGTGGGAACTTCTGGTTCAAATTCCCAAAGACTTCCTCCAAAGTCGAGCACTTTGTCTCAATCCTGGGCAAGTGCTTTGAGTCGCCGTGGACCACCAAAGCGGTCTCTGAGACCGCCAACGAGGATTCGGAAAACAGCCAGAATCGGACAAAAATGTTCAAGTCTGCAACCCTGGAGCCCAGCGATACCTCTGACACCAGTTCCTCTTTGACCTCCTACCCTGAGGTGACTTTTGAACCCCCGGTCAGCGGTTCGCCTTCTATGAACATCTTGGACAAGCAAGATGGCGAGCAGGCCAAGGCTCTGTTTGAGAAGGTGCGCAGGTTCCGAGCCCACACAGAGGACGGGGACCTGATCTACAAGTTCTATGTTGGCCAGACCGTGGTGAAGGCCCTCAAGTTCCTTGTCATCCTGTGCTACACCTTCACCTTTGTCAACTCTATCACCTTTGAGCATGTCTGCAAGCCCAAGATTAAAAATGTCACTGGCTACTCAGTGTTTTTCTGCACTCACAGCATGGCCTACATGCTGAAGAAGCTGCTTATCAGCTACATCATCCTGATTGCCCTCTATGGACTGGTGTGCCTCTATACCTTGTTCTGGCTCTTCCGAGGATCTCTGAAAGAGTATTCCTTTGAGAAGGTGCGCGAAGAGAGCAATTTCAGCGACATTCCTGATGTGAAAAATGACTTTGCCTTCCTCCTGCACATGGTCGATCAGTACGACCAGCTCTACTCCAAACGGTTTGCCATCTTCTTGTCTGAGGGCTGCGAGAGCAAACTGCTGGAGATGAACCTAAACCATGAGTGGACATACGAGAAGCTGAGGCAACATGTCTCAAAGAACATGCAGGGTAAGCTGGAGCTGCAACTTTTCATGCTGTCGGGCATTCCGAAAGCAGTCTTCGACATGAATGACCTGGAGGTGCTGAAACTGGAACTGATCCCCGACGTCCGACTGCCTGCAAAGATTTCCCAAATGGTGGCTCTGAGGGAACTCTATCTTTACCACTGCCCTGCGAAGGTGGACCAAATTGCTTTCAACTTCCTACGGGACCACCTTCACATCTTGCACATCAAGTTCACTGATATTGGGGAGATTCCCCTCTGGGTGTACTCGCTCAAGAACCTAGTTGAGCTGCATTTATCAGGTAATCTCAACTCTGAGACCAATAAAGCCATTGGCTTGGAGTCCCTTAAGGAGCTGCGGCATCTCAAAATTCTCATCATCAAGAGCAACCTCTCCAAAATCCCCTCGAACGTCATGGAGCTGGCCACACACTTGTCCAAGCTGGTCATTCAAAATGATAGCACCAAGCTCCTGGTCCTGAACAACCTGAAGAAGCTAGCCAGCCTCTCTGAGCTGGAATTGCAGAACTGTGAACTCGGGAGGATCCCACATGCCATTTTCAGCCTCACCAGCCTTCAAAAACTGGACCTGAAAGCCAATAACATTCAGAGCATTGAGGAGATCATTAGCTTCCAGCATCTCAAGAGGCTCTCCTGCCTCAAACTATGGCACAACTCCATCTCATGTATCCCCACCACCATCAGTCTCATCAAAAACCTTGAGCAGTTATACCTCTCCAACAACAAGCTGGAGTCCTTGCCTGCTGCTCTCTTCACCCTGAGGAAGCTACGACACCTCGACCTCAGCCACAACCTGCTCACGGCTGTGCCTCCCGACATTCACCTGCTCCAGAACCTGCAGCATTTCTCCATCACCAAGAATAAAGTGGAGACACTGTCTCTCCAGCTCTTCCACTGCTTGAAGCTGAGATCTTTACACCTGGGCCAGAACTGTATCACACATATCCCACCTGAGATCGGACAGTTAACTCAACTCACCTACCTGGAGCTGAAAGGAAATCATTTGGAGAGGATTCCACCTGAGATTGGCAATTGCCTGTTACTCAAGAAAAACAGTCTTATCGTTGAAGACCTTCTGTTTGATCATCTCCCCACTGAGGTCAAAGAGCACTTCACTGAACAAGACTTTACCTCCATTGTTTAATGTGTTGCCCTGGAGTTAGAGTCTCCTATCAGTGGGCCCACATGTTGTAGCTCCCTGTGTTGTACCAGGAGAGGTCTTGCACTGAGTCAGGCCCCTCTTAGAGTTCTCTCTAGCACATCCTCAGGTCGGGTTACAATACGAGTGTTATCACTTGGAGAGCTTTATACCTCCTGAAGTTCTCTCAAGTGGGTTTCAATTGGTCTAAAACTGAATTGGACTTATATACATGCTGGTGATTAGAGCCAACATTTACACAGATGTTATTTAGAGGTTTCATTCTAGGAATTAGTAGAGGTCTTTGTGTATTAGGATAGTCTGAGGCTGGAATTAATGTGTATTAATGGCATACGGTCAGAAAATTTTACCAACCCTTCAGACCACGTCCAGGCTGGTGGGGGACAGGGGCGATTCTGGCTCGGGGAGAAGCATCCTGATGGGGAGTAGGAAGGTTGGGGGAGAGAGGGATTCCTAATCCTGAGAGAGTGGGTTGGGGGAAGGGGGAGAAAGGGGATCCTGACTCAGAGGGGGAGATAGGGGTGGGGGTTGAGGCTGGGGATGAGGGGATCCTGACTCTGAGAAAGGGTGCAGGGAGAGAAGAGGGGATCCTGACTCTGAGGGGACAGCATAGGTGGGGTGTGGGGGAGGAATCCTGATTCTGAGAAGGGAGGGCGGGGAGGAATCTAGAGAAACCCGCCATGGTCATCAGTTTGAAGTTTAGTCATCATCCCTCAGTCACTCATAGTCAAAAAGAGACAATACACAGAACAGAGCCATTTGGCCCATCAGGTCCATGCTGGCTCTCTGGAAAGCAACCCAGTCCGTACCATTCTCCTGCTCTGTAAGTTTTTATTTTTGTCAAGTTCCCGTCCAATCTTCACTCTCACTCTCTCACACCCTTACTCTTTCACTCTTTCTGTGCTCTCTCTTTGTCTCTGCTCTCTCTCTCTCGCTTCTCTTCCCCCATCTCGCTCAGCTCCCCACTCCCCTCTTACTGTCCCTCTCTCCCTCCTCTTGTCCTTCTCCCCTCTCTCACCCTATTGCCCCTGTTTAACTCCACAGACACTTAAACTTTCAGAACTATCAAGTCATACTTCAAAAATTAAAACCAGAAGCTGCTGGAAAGATCCCTTTCTGTGCAAAGAGAAGCACACAAGTGCAGTTTTCATTCTTTTATCAGAACTGGAAGTGATTAGTGATAAACATGAAGAAACTGAACCAGTATCGGGAACATACACACTCTGTCATCTTGGAGTATTTTCATTTACTGTTGAATGACTCTGCTTCTGGCTTTTCATTGAGATCTCTATTTGTGAAGCAGAAGAGCCCCATGTCACTGCAGGAGAGAGGGGGAATGGGGAGGGCCAGAAGAAGGGGCAGTCAGGGAAGTGTGAAGGAGGGGCAAGAGGTGTGGAGTGAGAAGAGAGGGAGGGGCAAGAGGAGGGGGTTGAGGGGGAGGGAAGGGCAAGGGAGGGAGGTGCAAGGGGTGGAGGCTGGGTGGGGAAGGGGAGGGGGGGGAGGGGCGGGGATGGGGGGGAGGACAGGGAGAGATTGGGTAGGAACGTGAGAGGAGTAGGGTCGGGGGGCGACAAGGGAAGAATGAGAGAGGAGGAGGCAGAGTGAGATGAGAGGGGCATTGAGAGTGGAAAGAAGGCCGAGAGGAAGGAGAGACAGGGTACAGACAATGGGGTAGGGAGAGGAGATTGGGAGGGAGAGGTAAGGGGAGAGGAGGATGGAACAGAGAAGGACAGAGAGGGAGAGGGGGCAGTGTGTTTCTATGAGGGATGTCACTGTGGGGGATTGTGGATTATGTCAGTTCGGACTGGAGGTTGGAGGGTTGGATTGTACCTTCTTAGCTCTTTCGAGTAGAACTTTATACAGGACACTCTGTCTTCTCAGTAAGTGTTGTGATAGAAACAGCGGCCTTTCACGTTGTAATGCGTGGACAACTGAGGTGAAGGAATAACCCCTGAATGATGTGACTGAGATTAGGAGGCCAGCTTTCAATGAATATTTGGGAAGCTGTCACTTTTATATAGTGTGAATTAAATCGATTAAGTCAAACCTTGTCAATAGGACAAGATTAGAAATGACCCAGGACTGAGTTCCGTTGATAGGGACACCTGGATAAACATCAATCAATAGAAAGTGAGTTGGATGGGGCAAGGGTGAGCTTGTCAAATCTGAGGTTCTCAAAGTAAATTATTTGTTAAAATGAGTGTGAAAAAGGGAAATTCCTTGTTTGGATTGGTAGGCCTCAGTGTCTAAAAATGGCTGAAGATTTAAATGATTCAAAGCTCAATCATCAAGGATTAGATTCAACAATTCACAAAACAAATGATGAACTGGTTCACTAACTAATCACTCATAACTAGGGTACATGAGACAATCAGACTATATGTGTCACGCTGGTCGTCAGCACTGTGATTTTATCTGTAAATAAATCTGAAAGTAGTGATTTGGTCTTATGTTCTCAAAAGATCATTATTTTCTCTGTCAGGCAGGTTAGGGGGTGATCAGTAATGTTTTGAAAGAATCATATTTCCTTTAACCTCTCACCTGCTCCATTGCGTGTTTTGCCGTTTGGTTGTTGGAGGTCAGTCATTTCAGCTCCAGGACATCTCTGCAGGAGTTCCTCAGGGTTGTGTCCTAGGCCCAAATATTTCCAGCTACTTCATCATCCATCCCTCCTTCATAACTTTAGAAATGAGGATGTTTGCCGATCACTATCCAATATTGAGCACCATTTGCGACTTCTCATGCTAAAGCAGTCACTGTTCAAATGCAACAAAATCTGGACAATTTCCAGGCTTGGACTAACAAGTGACAAGTCACATTTGCTCCACACAAATCTCAGGCAATGACCATATTCAATAAAAGACAATCAAACTGCCACCTCTTGACATGCATTAGTGTTATCATCAATGAATTCTCCCACTACCAACATCCAGGGAGTTACCATTGGGCTTGCCATATAAATACAATAGCTACAAAAGCCAGTCAGTGGCTAGGAATCTTGCAGCGTGTAACTCATCTCCTGATGCCCCAAAGCCTGTCCACCATCTACAAGGCACAAGCCTTGAGTGTGATGGAATATTTGCCTCTTGCTTAGGTGGGTGCAACTCCAAAATCTCCAACAGTCAAAATCTTGGCACCATCCAGTACAAAGCAGCCCACTTGGTTAGCACCAAATCCACAACCTTCAATATTTATTCCCTTTGCCACTGACACAGCATTATGCACCATCTGATACCGTTCATTGTTGTCACATGTTGCTAAGTACAGTGAAAAGCTTTGTTTTGGGAGTAGTACTGGCTGGTCATAACGTTCAAGGACATACAGATCATAGGGTATTTAGACAGAGTGTGGCATACAAGGTTACAACTGCACAGGAGGTGCACAAAAGCAGGAACAACATTAAAGTGGAAATTAGAGAGGTCTATTCAGCAGTCTAACAGCAGGGAAGAAGCTGTTCTTGAGCCTGTTGGTGCGTGTGTTCAAGCTTCTGTATCTTCTGCCTGACAGAAGAGGTTGGAAGAGAATATTACCAGGAAAGGTCTTTGATGATGTTGGCAGCCTTTATGTGGCAACAAGAGGTGTAATGGTGTCCATAGATGGGAGATAACAAGGTGTAGAGCTGGATGAACACAGCAGGCCAAGCAGCATCAGAGGAGCAGGAAGGCTGACGTTTCGGGCCTAGACCCTTCTTCAGAAAACCATAGATGGAAGGTTGTCTTTTATGATGGTCTGGGCTGTGCACATAACTTTCTGTAGTTTCTTACAGTCCTGGGCAGAGCAGCTGCCATTACAAGCCATTATGCACTCGGAAAGAATGCTTTCTATGATGCATCTGTAAAAGTTGGTGCGGGTCCTTATGGGCATGCCGAATTTCCTAAGCCTCCTGAGGAATGTTATAAAGTGGAGGTTGACCCCACTCTGTGAACTAAAACCGAAACTCCTAGGAGGGGGAGCACCTTGCTCTATAATCTGTAAAAGGAGTATGGAAAGGGGTGTAACCTGTCTTTCATCAACTTCTAGTGGTTAAATTAAATAAATCCCTGACACGCACTTTACAATCAACAAGTAACAATTTATTTATCTATCTCTTAACAGTGAACTATTAACAAATTGAATAAACACCTAACTACTAACTATTCCCTAATAAAACAGGATTCTAATAGTATGTTGTTCCAATAAATACAAGTCTCACCTATGCAAAATAAAAAATGAATTTAGTCTCTCGAAATTACAGCCATATTGCATGTCTTCCAGAATGTTTTGTGCCTTCTCCATCAAATGTTCTGTCAGGAACACCTCCTCTGTTGATTCTTCTGTCAGGAATATTAACTCGTTATGCCATTGGTACCTTTGATATTTAGATGGTGCTTTGTCTACGACTTCTCTTGAGAGCCGGGAGCTGTTAACTCTGCCAGATGGCAGTTAGTTCACCTGTCTTTGTCCAACTGCCCTCTTCTTTTATACCCCTGATGACAGATCAATTTCTTTCAAACAGATTGGTCCTAAGTTGTCAAAACCATCAGATTCAAATTTGGTAGGTTTTTGGTATCTAAATTCCTGCTTCATATTGGTTAGCTAAATTCAAAAATCTGTTGTCTTGGTAAAAATGTTGCTTGGCCCGCTAATGGTACGGCCTTTCAATACAAACATTTCAATTCAGATGCTCACTCTACTTGCAAACTTTCAAGCTGCTCACAGACGTCTCCAAGCATAAAAAAAGCACAATCTATGAAAGGGACCATGCAATGCCTTCTCCTCTCGCATTATACAAACACCAGCATTTAACAAACACCAAATTCTAATGTCCTGCCTCCCAATTCACAAATACTCCACCCAACTTTGTAACAGGAAGGAGGTGTTGTTCTGCCTTCTTGACCATCGCATCTACGTGGGAAATCCAGGACAGGTTGTCAGTTATCATCACTCCTACAAACTTGACACTCTCAACCCTCTCAACATCAGCTCTGTTGATGTAGATAGGGGTGTGTCCTCCTCATTTCTTTTTGACGTCAATGTTCAGTGCTTTAGCTGACATTTAGAGAAAGACTATTATCGATGCACTACAATACCAAGCACTCTGTCTCCTTTCTGTATTCTGATTCATCCAGCCTGCAAAGGTGGTGTCGTCAGCCAACTTGTAGATGGCATTCGTATGAAATTTGGCCACACAGTTGTGAGTGTACAGGAGATACAGTAGGGGGCTGAGTATGCATCCTTGCAGGGCACCAGTGTTGAGGATTGTCGTGGAGGAGGTTCTGTGGTCTATCTTCACTGATTGTGGTCTGAGAGTCAGGAAGCTGAGGATCCAGTTGCAGAGGGTGGAGCCGAGATTTAGGTCTCAGAGTTTTGAGGTTAGTTTAGTTGGGATTATAGTTGAAAGCATGGCTATAGTTGATAAGTAAGAGCTTGACTTCGGTATCCTTATTATCCAGATGTTCCAGGGATTAGTGCAGGGTCATGCAAAAGACATCTGCTGTCGACCTGTTTCACCAGGAGGCAAATTGCAGGGGATCAAAGCAGGCTGGAAGGCTCGAGCTGACGTGGGCCATGACTAACCTCTCGAAGTACTTTATGATTATGGAGGTCAGAGCCATTGGGCGGTAGTTGTTGAGGCACATTGCATGTGTTTTCTTTGGTGCTGGGATGATGGTGGTCTTTTTGAAGTAGGTGGAGACTTCAGATTATAGCAAGGAAAGGTTAAAGATGTCAGTGAATACTTCCACCAGCCAGTCCGCATATGATCAGGATACACTGCAAATCCTCTCCAAGCCTCCTTACCTTACACAGCACTTTCAAACCCATGAACACTACCATCTAGCAACATATATCATCAGATACATGGGAACACCAGCATTTCCAAGCACCTACTCCCCACACTGACTTGGAAGCATATTGCTGTTTCTTCACTGCCCTGGATCCTCCTCTCTAACAGTGCTGTGGATGTCCCTAAACCTCAAGGATTGTAGCAGTTCAAGAAGGAAACTCACATACATCATCTTCAGGTAAGAAAAACAGAAATTGCTGAAGAAATTCAGTAGGTCTGGCAGCATCTGTGGAGAGAAAGGAGAGATAATGCTTCGAGTCCAGTGCCTCTTTTTCAGAACTGAGAGTAGCTAGGAAAAGGTTTTAACTTTGCTTTTACTCCACAGATGCTGCCAGACCTACTGAATTTCTCCACCATTTTCTGTTTTTGCTTCAGA